CAAAAAAATAGGTTAATTTACTCACGAATCCGTAGGGCACAAGCTGTCGCGAACTGTTTAAAATTAATTTTACAAAAATGCTTGTACCGTTCAGTCAGTAGACGATGAAAAACAAAAATATTTTTAAAAAGTCATTTTCTTTGTTTCTTCTTCTCGCATTAAATCCATACTATATATTAGGTTGTCACACATGAAATGACGCATATATATATATTAGGTTGTCACACATGAAATGACGCATATATATATTAGGTTGTCACACATGAAATGACGCATTTTTGGTTGATTGTTGATCCTAACGCAGTAACCTCAGTAGTATAAAAAAACTTGACTTATTCATGACATTTTCAATCAATTGTCCAAACTCTGAATAGCCTGAATTATGGAATTTTGCCTCATCCTTCATATTCACCAGCTATCTCTCCTACTGATTATCACTTATTTAAGCATTTTGCGTTTTTCATATGCAATAAAACATTTTCCAATAAAAAAGAGGTAATCAAAGCATTTGAACTGTTTATCACATCAAAGGATGATAATTTTTAAAAAAATGGGATCAAGAATTTAGAGGTACATTGAAGAATAGTCCTTCATCAACAAGGTGATTATTCCAACTAAATAAATTAGAGAAGCGTTTTATTGATTTCCTATAAAGTGCGTCATTTCATGTGTGTCAACCTAATATCTATATAGGCTGACCAAAAATGCATGCACACTTTAACAGCTGATAACTCAATTTAACTCAGATTTAAACCATTAGAAATATTGTTGTGTTGTGGCCTTGTTAGGGCCAAAAATAAAGACATAAGTGAGGAATTGAGTTAAATATATTAGCAAAAACAGTAATTCAAACATATACAAACGAGATTGTTACAGCAAGAATGTTCGGACTGACTTGCTGAGTTGACTGCTGGAAACCGCCCTCTCCAAAAGGCTGTACCTGCTCCTATTTATAGCTCGGAGAGTCCATGCGTGCATAATGTTATATCTATAGAGGTGTGGGTGGTGTAATGGTTATCGGCGTATGCAATAATTGAACGAGAATGTGTTTCTACTATCCTCAAAACCTGATCAAAGCCTAGCTGTCATATGTATAATAGGTAGGCGTCTCATGAGAAACAAATTTACTACTAATGCTAACCATTGTGCCACGGTGTGGGTCCTTCATATATACATATTAATGTACATAACAGATGTGTGGGTGGTGTAATGGTTATTAATTGGCCGCCTGTGTTCAAATTCAGGGCGAGGATGTTCCGTCCCCCTTTCATTAATGCCATTGATAAAAATAAATAATAAAAACAGTATGACAGACTGAGCTCTATAGCCCTGGTAGGGCAGCCAGTCTAGAAAAGCATGGCTGAATTCCAAATAGTGAAAAAGTCAACGGGAAAATTCTTCATTATCATAGCAATTCTCAGATATTAATTTCACAGATAACGAAGAAGATGAAAATGTGGAGAACCATATCCTTCTATTCCCTTGGCCCCTGAAATACCATGAAATATATATATATATATATATATATATATATATATATATATATATATACCTTTGTGCAAATTAATTGAAACAACCGCTTTAGTTTCCTTTCTTTCAACATATGGTTAGTTTTAGACGTACTGGAGTGTCAGCGTGTAATCAATTTTTATTTTTCATCAAATTAAGGCATTTGCAGTGGTATGCAGTAATATGCATCTATTTTTGGGGTGTATGATGAAATTTGTTTGTCCTTTAAAAATATTACGTCGTCCGTGATTGCATCAGATTTTCATCACTCCCAGACACTATTGTCTTGACTGTCGATGAGTTGTCCTACAGCCACTGTCTGCGATGGACTTTACTCCAAGGAAGCGTACGGAAATTGTCACGCTGCACAAACACACTGGCAAACCTTACCAGTGAGCAAATTAAAGTAATATAGATTGGCATGGAAAATCTCCTGATTTAAATCTAATTGAGAATCTGCGGTCAATCTGCAAGGAAAGACTTTGTGGAATGGATATACGAAGTACTAACATGTGCACTGGGTCATATTTCATTTGAAAAATATAGCAACACATATTTCTAAATAAAATATTTACTTTAACTACTTACACTGTTCGGACTGTTGGCCTTATCTTTATTGTCATATTCATGACGTTTCGGCCGTTGTACGCTCCGACATTCTTCAGGTGATATACGCTGTTATTTCGAACTGGAGCAGATTGTTCAACTTCCACGTGGAATGCCTTTTCTGAATATCTTAGTTTCAGTTATTAGAGCAATAAAATTTCAATGTAAATCGTGTAAATAGTTAAAACACATCATCTCAAAAATATAGACAAACTTTACTTTAACCCTGATAAAATACCTCAGAGGACGATACGCGTTGGTAAAGAAAAGTGTTCCTTTTGTCGTTATTCATATATATTTATACACACACACACACACACACACACACACACACACACACACACACACACATATATATATATATATATATATATATATATATATATTATATATTGTCATCCACAACCAGACTGTTTCGCTGCATCACAGCTCATCAATTTTGCAAGATGTCCGCTAGTCTATAGCTAAGAGCGAAACCCAGCTGAATTGGCGTCAGAGATTCTATCTCTAAGCCGTTGGTGCACGGCAGGGATGAAGGTGAATTTAATCGAAGAGTCTTACTTTATAAGCCGTAATAGTCACTGTTTTAAAACATACTTCCTCCCCAGAGAGCTCAACCGAAATAAATTTTTCAGGAGCATATATACTGTCATCCACAGACTGATTGTTTCGCTGTATCACAGCTCATCAGTGTGAATGGAGGCCCATTTGCCTCTAGCTAGGATTGAAACCCGGCTGAATTAGCACCAGTCTCTTTCTCTCTCTCTCTCTTTCTCTCTCTCTCTCTATATATATGTTTATATAAAGATATATATAAACGGCTATTATATAAATGATGATTGTCAGTTTTACGCTTCTGTGAAATCTTCAGACCAAGCGAAGTGTTTTGAAGATCATACTGAAGCATATTAACGCTTCGATATTCAGCATCCATACCTTATAAATATAGTTAATTTTGAACAGCATCACCTCTCTCTCTCTGTCTGTCTGTCTCTTTATATATATATAGTTATATATAGATACATACATATATATATATATTTATATATACATACATACACACACACACACACATATATATATATATATATATATACACACGCATATATATATATATATATAAAGAAAAATATATACGGAAAAAACAAACAAATATCCTTGTATACAATTATGCTGTTTTAATGTTAATATGTCAACGTCGGACGTTTCGGTCTAATAAATCATCTTCAGGACATATTCATAAATTATAACATTATCAATACAACATGACAAAAACGATGTACATAAGAACAAGACTTATCACGACAACGTGACCATGTTTTAAACGGGGCGCTGATCTTATAAAACTTTCAGTTATTTGTTTGGATAAGTCTTGTTCTTATGTACATCGTTTTTGTCATGTTGTATTGATAATGTTATAATTTATGAATATGTCCTGAAAATGGTTTATTAGACCGAAACGTCCGACGTTGACATATTAACATTAAAACAGCATAATTGTATATAAGGATTTTTGTTTGTTTTTTCCGTATATATTTTTCTTCATACTGTCGGATCTATATCCATATATTTGCTTACATATATATATATACATACGAGAACGTAGGTTACGTATTTTATAGGTCGTTGTCTGTCTGTTTCTGTCTGTCTCTCTCTCTCTCTCTCTCTCTCTATATATATATATATATATATATATATATATATATATATATATACACATATGTATACGATATGTATATATATATATATATATAGAGAAAATAGAGATTATATATCAATGTATTTATTTACATATATGCACACACACGCACATACAGATGTTTATATATATATATATATATATATATATATATATATGTGTGTGTGTGTGTGTATGCGCGCGTGTGTGTACGTGTGTGTGGGTGTTTCAAATATAAGCATTGCTTTTGCCTTTCATCAAACTTCCCGCATGTTTTGATTTCTGATTATGTCCGTGTAAATCGCAGTGATCTTTTGTATTTACACCTGATTCTTTTTCTCGTCTGCTCTTTCATCATTGTTCGGAAAATTGTTGGCCGAGAAAGTATCTGCTGGTGAGATGCTATTGTAATTAGAGGAAGCCACTTGGTTAGCATTCATCACTAACAGGAAAAAGAAACGCACAGCGACCAAAATAGGCAAGTACGTATCAGGCTTTGCAACTTTCGCTGATTTTAATGTTGTGCGAAGAGAAAGAGAATGCTTAAAAAGACAATCATTACTTTCAATAGAAAGGTGGGTTTTCTGGCGTAAAACAACTGTTAATTTGTAGTCGATAAACTTTTTTTTATTTGGCTGAGAAGCGAAACGTCAGTAATCTATAATAATGTCTTTGATCCAATTGGTTAGTCGAGTAAACAGCGTTTAAAGCCATAATAAAGTTTATATATTGAAATCTTTGCGTTGAGTATATGTTGGGAAACCTCGCTTTGTGAGATTTGATTTACAGTACAAAGCGTTACAGAATGGGTTTATAATTTGTGATACAGAATTTGTTAAGTGTGGAATAGTGTCTATGTTGGAGTCGGATAATGTCTGCAATGTTAATGGAAGTGAAATAATAAAATGTTAAATAAATACAGGAAGCGTCAACAAGTATTAATCGATAAAGACGGCCTGATGGCGAGCGTAAAAACGTACGTCTCAGTGTTAATATGCCAAAGAATAAGAATCGAAATATTTGGAAGGAGAAAATCAGTCAAAAACTGTAAAAGAAGGGTGGGTGTTGAGAATTGAAACCTTGAGAAGAACAAGATTTTGGAATACTAAAGAAAAATAAAATATTCAGAATCTAAAGACGAGAAGAAGTTATTCGAAAATAGCAGGCCATTAAAAATTGAAGGACGAAATTTGTAGCGGAAAGGGACATTCGAATCGTGCAGAAGAGGAGAACAGTAAAAACTTGTCGAAAAAGACGAGAGTTTCAACCTGAAGGAGAGAAACAACCTGTGGAAGAAGAGGAGATTTGCAAACTGCAGAGAGGGAGATTAGCAACATGCAGAAGAATAGGAGAGCCTCAGCCTGCAGAGGAAGAGGAGATTCGCAACCTGAAGATGAAGATTAGAGCTACATCCTTCAGAAGAAGAGGAGATTTTCAACCTGAAGAAGAGAAAGGACCCGTAGAAGAAGAGTATATTCGCAACAGGAAGAAGAAGCGGAAAGTCGCAACATGCAGAGGAAAGGGAGATTCGCAACATGTAGAAGGGGAGGAACCTCGCAACCTACAGAAGAAGTGGAGATTCGCAACATGTGGGAAAGGATAAACACAAATTTCAAAAGTCGAGAAAATTCGCAACCTGCAGACGAAGAGTAGAGTAGCAACCTGCAGAAGAAGGGGGTAGTTTCAAACTGGAGAAGAGAAACAACCAATACAAGAAGAGGTGAATTGCAACATACAGATGAAGAGGATATTCGCAACCTGCAGATAAAGAGTAAAATCACGACATGTAGAAGAAGAGAATAGAGTCGCAACCTGTGAAAGAAGTGGAGATTCGCAACATGTAGAACAAGACGAAGAGGAGGGTCCTAACCTGCAGAGGATGAGGAGTTTCGCAACACATAGACGAAGAGGAGAGTCCCAGCCTGCAGAAGATGAGGGTATTCGCAACATGTAGACGAAGAGGAGAGTCCCAGCCTGAAAAAGATGAGGAGATTCGCAACATGTAGACGAAGAGGAGAGTCCCAGCCTGCAGAAGATGAGGGTATTCGCAACATGTAGACGAAGAGGAGAGTCCCAGCCTGCAGAAGATGAGGGTATTCGCAACATGTAGACGAAGAGGAGAGTCCCAGCCTGCAGAAGATGAGGGTATTCGCAACATGTAGACGAAGAGGAGAGTCCCAGCCTGCAGAAGATGAGGGTATTCGCAACATGTAGACGAAGAGGAGAGTCCCAGCCTGCAGAAGATGAGGGTATTCGCAACATGTAGACGAAGAGGAGAGTCCCAGCCTGCAGAAGATGAGGGGTATTCGCAACATGTAGACGAAGAGGAGAGTCCCAGCCTGCAGAAGATGAGGGTATTCGCAACATGTAGACGAAGAGGAGAGTCCCAGCCTGCAGAAGATGAGGGTATTCACCAACATGTAGACGAAGAGGAGAGTCCCAGCCTGCAGAAGATGAGGGTATTCTGCAACATGTAGACGAAGAGGAGAGTCCCAGCCTGCAGAAGATGAGGGTATTCGCAACATGTAGACGAAGAGGAGAGTCCCAGCCTGCAGAAGATGAGGGTATTCGCAACATGTAGAAGAACTGTAACGTGCAGAATAAGAGAAGTGTAGAAGAAGAGTGGAGTCGCAACCTGCAGAAAAAAGAAGCGTTTCTCACTCTGCAGAAGGAGATGCACAGCTAAAGAAGAGAAAAGACGCTTCTGTAGAAGAAGTTGCAGCACAAGCGAGGCACAAGTTGCAGAAATTGTTGTAAATCTGCGGAATATGCGATAAGTCGATACTCGTAGAACAGATGCAACGAAAATGAAATGCAGAAGAAAAGATTTGCATAAAGTTGCAAAAATCGAGTATTGTAATCAGATTAGTTTAGGGGATTTCAACTCTCCACATTTTTTGTGGAATAGGACAAAATTGTATATTGTATCTCCATTATGAATAGTACCTGCCTCTCAGTGAAGTAGTTTCAATCAATCCATTAAATTTTGCTTGAAGATTTTGACGCATTTGATCTAATTATCTACCACAATGATTTCTTTCTTTGGCCGACCTCTCTCTTGAATTTCTTTTAACTGAAATCAACGCTTGTACATTTTAGACATCTATATGACACTTGTTTCACTGACAGTTCTATAAATATGACATTTAAGCTCGTTGCAGTTTTGGCATCTGTTATGACTCATGTTGAACTTATTTAACATGTTTTCAAAGGTTTCCAAAGTAAAACGGGTTTTAAAATGTATATTCAGCCTCTAGTTATCAAAAGAATAAAAAGTGTTGTGAACATTTGCACATAACTAAGATAAAGCAAGAAAAACAAAACTTACGGCAGCAATATTTATTAAATAAAATTATTAAATAAAACTTTTACAAATGATATTTTTGCTTTGTTTCCGCTCCGCATTTAACTATTGGGCTAATATTTTTTTGCCAAGGGATATCTATTTTTCATCAAGATACACTCTAAAAACAATCAAGTTTCTTTTATATCGATGGTCTTTTTATACAGTCAACAATCCGTATGATTATTTTTTTTTGCGATTCAGATACTAAGGTAGGAAAATGTCCTGTCGTATTTTTGACACGCCACTACTTTTGCAATACTTACGGTAAATAATATACAATATATTTTTAAGTTCAAATGTTTATTTATTTGAAGGTATCTTAATACCAAAGTGGGTAAACATCGATGTTATTCTCCTGAAATGAGTTTAGATCAAACATATATAAAACAATGGGATAATTTTGGATTTTAGTAACGGTACGAGCAAGAAATCTTCGTTCTGTCTATCGAAATGAAGCCTACCGATTATGCCAATGATAGCTTGGTAAATTTCGATCAGAAACTTTTTTCTTTCAAAGATTCCTCTTGAGCTGAAAGTGCAAGTTATTTCGGTACTGAGATTCTGCAAAAAATAGGAAAGTTCTATGCAAACTGAACAAGAAGTAGCAACCCAGTTCGATACAAGTCGAACTTTGTTCCTAAAATATCATCATTCATTAGAAAAGTGTTTTGATCGATGGGTCTATGGCCATCTGATAGATTCGCAGCTTAATCTTAGTGTTTTTCTCTTCTCGTCATTGAAGTTTAAACTTACTTTCTTGGGTAAATTCATCACCAGTGATAAAAATGGGTTCTTATGCAACAAAAATAAAAATCATTAGCACTCACTAAAAATATGAAATCCATTTCTAAACCAGAAGTACATCCGAAAAACATTGTGCTCTTGGGTTAGGTATGGAGAGGTTCGTCTGTCATGAAGCGATAAACCAAAACGAAACATTTATTGCTGAAAGGTTTCATCATCAATGTGAAACATTGCACATAAATTTGCAGAACAAGCACCAATCTTTGCTTAATTATGAATGGTATTGTTCTTACCCAAGTTACTGAGAAATATTTTATGGCACTAAATATGGAGGTTTTTCCTTATCCTCCTTACTCTACTTATTTTGTTCCATATGACTTATCATGTATCCATATATTTGTAATATTTTTAGAGAAAAAACCGTTTATTAACTGCTATGGTGTTTAAGCTAATATGGAGTGTTTGTATCTAAACCTGAAGTATTTGACTCTGAAGGATCGACAATTTGTCAGATAGATGGGATTATATTATCGGTAATGAGAGAAAAAATTGTTTTGAATAAATCTATCAATGAAAACAAAATAATTATTTGTTTCTTTTTCGTCATCAAATGCGACAGTTCGTTTTTTTCTCATTCTAGGAGAATCTATTTAACAATGTATTATTTAAAGCGATCTCAGATGATTAATACAAGACTCCTGAGAGACTTTCAGGAACATTTCCTACTTCAAATTTCTCATCATTGTTTACTGCTTTCGGCCGACATCTTTAAATTTTTAAACAGGAATCAACATAAATGTTTTTGAAACCAAAAGCTTACCATTTGTTCAAAAACACCTTAGAAGATACGTTCATTTATATTAAGGTGTTTGGAAAGTAATTAAGTTTTTATCAAAAATGGTATAAAAAGAAATTTAAGTTAAATTTAAATATTATTTATCGCAAATCTAATCACCTTCATTTTTTAACAGCTGCATATTCACGGAATTCCACGTTTAAGAAGATTTGGTGTTATTTTCCTGAAAACGTTTGAAAGACTCTTTGGTGTTATTCTTCGTTTAAACGAGAATGTTGCTTTAAATAAACGTCAACGGTGATGGGTCTTCCATGTTTCATCAGATCGTAATTGACAATGCATTTAATATTTGACCAGAAAAAAAAACCAAGGCATCTATGGCTGGAATCCTGGTTTTGGTGTGGGCACAGGTTTCTCATTTTATGGCAAGCACTTGCTTTTTTTCGATTTCTGTTCAAATGAAAAAGCCATTACAGATTTGACCTCCACCCAGATATGGGATTAAATAACAGGGTATTTTGAGCTCCCTAACCGAGAGAAGGAAAACTCTGAATTCCAAACTGTGAAGTCTGTTTCGCTGGATGTTATGAAAATTCACAGATAATCAAGGAAAGTAGTTATAATTGCCTACATCATGGAAAGGACACGGCATTTTCATATGAGATAATTACATATAAACAAGTTTACAAAGTTTTGTCAATTTCTTGTTAAAATAAACTTCTATGACATAACCATGTAAAATGAAAATTTTAAATATGAAATTGATGAATTACGAACATTTCAGAATTTGTCAAAATTGAATCCAAATATCGTGTATTTTAAAAGAAAATACCGGAAAATAATCATGTCAAAATGTGATGGACAAATGAGAGAATGGTATTCCTGGTTAAAAGTCTGCTGCAGATGGTGGGGCATTGTGATTGATTCTCAAGCAAAAGCACATCAGGAACTCAAATTCCTTCTTTGCAAGTTTCGTAATTAAACTCCGGAATTCGCTATAAATGACAAGCTTTCATATAAAAGAAAAACAAACGAATTCTAGTCGAATTCTTTGGCTGTTCGATGTCAGTTCTGCTTTGGTTGATTGGCTCAAAATAGCAATGAAATAAGTAATTACTTTCCAAACAACTTAATAATTCCATTGTGTTCCCCATTGAACTGAAAATAAATAACACGATAATCCTGAATTGAAAAAACTTTGTATGTTTGCCAATAATGAAATAAAATGGATTTTTCTTGAATAATCAAGAAAAACGATGTAGATTATAAAGAAAAAAAACCCCCAAAAAACAGTAAAAATATCAGGCTTAAAGCGAAATTGGCAATGTCATGTTGAAGGAATTAATAACTTACTGTGCTTTAAATAAACTTCTTGAACTGTCGGCACAAAAGCCCAATCTTAACATTTTAGTTTTCCTGCGAACCATGTACGTCTTCATTGTGCCGCCAAGTGTTTCATTATTTGATCAATACGCAATAAAATGTTATGAAAAGTCTTTTACATCGAAGCTGAATTATGAAATGTTAACAGAAGAAAAAATTTAAAAAAGAAAAAGAAAAGAATAATATCCTGTTCTCAAGCCTCGAAATAGCTCAACAACTTAGATTCGTTTTTGAGCATTATGGTTGCCGTAGTGATTCAAGACGACAATGTTTAGGTCGGCTTTACATATGGTCGTTTTTTGTTTTTTGTTTTTATTCAAAAGTCAGAGCTGTAGAGCAAAAACAGGCAGTAATTACACCCGGTAAAGATATAAAGGTTGAAGCAGAAAAGACGAAACAGACATTTGCAGATAATAACCGTCACCGGAAATGAACGTTTGCTACCATTGTGGTTTGAAATTACTCTTACTTTGTCGATAGAATGGAACTGCTGACAGATGAGATAGCACAAAAGGGAACAGAATAAAGAAAGGCACCACTTCAGGTCCAAGAGAGTAGCTTAGGGATTTAAACAGTCGACCAGAAGCTATAAAACCGACAACACACGTGGTTCATATGACAGTATATTAAACAGAAAGGCTGCGTATTGATTTAATTTTATCTTTATTTGTTGTAGCACTTAAAAAAATTAAAATTTCTGCTGAACTGTAGATATTAAAAATCATCTTGGCTTAAAATAACAAATTACATTGGTAGACTAATAGCTCGTGCTATGAGTTTCAGATTTATGTTTGTTACACTCTTAAGGACTTATACTAAGCTTAATAAATACTGTTTAACGATATATCATCTAATATTAATAAAATTCAATTATAATAATAACTTCAATTATAATAATATTTTATTTGGTAAAGTTAGTTTGCCAAGTATATGTTTTTTTTTCCATACGGCGTTCCTCCTTTGACTGAAACTCATCCAGTCAGATTTGAAATTTTTGCTTTGGGAATCAAGTACCCCTTAATTAAATCTTTGACTTATAGTCTGTATATTTCAGTATCTCATTAACGTGCAGGGTATCACGAATTAGAAAATTTATCTCGCGAGATAAAGATAATGTCCTGTTTGGTCAAAATTCAGTCCTTTGTTGACGAAACTAGAGTAACCTTTCCGGAGCGCAGATCTGGTGGGGTGGTATATAGAGGCCGTGCCCTGTCCAGGCTACATGCCCCCTCTCGGTCGTATCGATCCAAACGAATACAGGACATTACATTTAGGAACATAGATGCAGGAGTTTCCAGAAAATTGTTCACAGCTAACCGCCTTCAGGGATTCACTACAAGTTTTCTGTCTGGATTTACTTCCATAGACTTTTCCGCGTTTTGGATATAATCGCAAGGCAGTGAAGGTTTAAAATCAATGTCTTCCTTCCTCTACATGGGCTTTCTGGGCTGTCGAACTCTATCTAACCGAAGCAGCTGGTTTTAAGGCGCTAGTTTTCTGCCTTTGGCTTTGAGCAGGACTTAGTTGTCAGAGTCTATTTGAGACGCATGCGTCAGGAGTATTTTATAGACAGTGGGGGATTGTCCCTACTATCATTTCCCACTATCGCAACCTTTGGATCATATATAATGTACTGTTATAAACATTATATACATTACGTGTTTTAAAAACTTTAATTATATCAATAGAATAACTGTAAAAATGTTGGTTAATTATGACAATAAAATTATCGAATATGTAACGCCGACCCTCTCGCACGGTGTCAGTTGTAACGCGATCTCTGGTCAAGGTGTCCATGTGACTCCGTATCCTAACCCTACTGGGCCGATGTCATCCACAATACCGACCGTTGGTCCTGTATGGTCCAGTATTAATGGTTAGACCTAAGTCTCCCGTTTCAAATGTCAACTCGATTCCACTCACCATCCACGTTGTGATTTTTTGATCCTGGCTAGTAGTTTTCGGGACGTAGAATTCTGAAAGCTCTCCGTTGGTCTATCTGCAAGGTTGTTGAGTCAGAATCGGGTTAATAGCAAATAAATATGGCCAAGTCGATCCGATTTTAGAGGGACAAAAGTTATATATATATATATATATATATATATATATATATATATATATATATATAACATCAACAATACATATAATAATACAATTATTGTGGCAAAAGTTGAATGTCTCTTGTATATGAACGATGATCAACAAAACAAAAAAATAATTCGTGTAATTTCGTTAAAGGAGAGAGGTGGCTTAGTTTTAACCCTTTTTAATTACTGTAGCTTGTTCGACGTCCCGTCCTCAGTGGTAGTAATAGTAGTAGTCTTAGCTGTTGGAGGAAGTATTCGCTTCTTCGCACTTATATCAACAGCACATGTTAGCGAACGCTTCGTTCCAATCTCTGACGTCACTTCCTCTCCTCTTCGAGTCTCCAACTCGACTCTGCTCACTGTCTCTAACCCAACTCTATTGCACTCGAAGACAAAAATATTTCCTGCCATATTCTTATGGCTAATATTGTTAGACTACACATTCAGAGAAAAGTTAAAGAATTATACTCTTCTATTTGAAATTCCAAAATATATTCGAGCATATGTAGCACAAAGCAATGTGGTCTACTATGAAGAAATTAAATATTGGTCATAAGTTGACTGAAACAATCCAATAGCTATACCAACAGGTCATCAGAGCGATTCTTGTCCGAGAAAGAGTAGCGAAATTGTTCTGCACATCGATCAGTTCACGACAAGGATGTTTACTGCTCCCTGCATTTTTAAATATCTTCCTGGAAAGAATAATGTCGGATGCCAGTCAGCATTCAAAGGGAAACGATGACGAACCTCAGGTTTGTTGGTGGTATAGACGGCCTGGCTGGAAGTGAAGATGGCCTGGCTAACCTGATGAGGTGTCTGTACGAAACAGTATCCAGATATGGTATGGAAATCAACGCCGACAAAACACAACTGATGAGAAATAGTGGGGAACCCATGAGGACACCAATTACAGTCAGTGGTTAGCAACTGAAGAGAGTGAAACAGTTGAAATACCTTTGTGCAATCATCAGCCAAAATGGATGCAAGCCAGAAGTCAATGAAAGAAATGTGTTGACAACAACCACGATGACAAAGTTGAAACTGATCTGGAAAGAGAAAAAGATCACCCTAAAACATAAACTGAGATAACTGCACGCCATCGTCTTGTTGGTATTTCCTCCACCGATCCCGTCAAGAATGAAGAGGTTTGCAGAAGAGTAAATCATCATTTAAATCGCTATAAAGACGTGTTGTCAATCTTAAAGAAGAGAAAGATGAAGTGGGATGGACATATAAGCAAACTGCGAGATCACCGAAACCAACCTACAAAGAAAAAGGGGATACCAAAGAGATGGTCGGACAATCTCGTCGAATGAATTGGTGAAAGTTTTACGTAGACCCAGGTGCTGGCCAATGACCAGATCAAGTGGAGACTTTTGTTGAGAAAGGCACTATACAGTGTCTCTAAGAGCTTGTTTGGTTATGAGCCAATAAGATTAGAAATTCAAGTAGGGAAGTCCTATCATTAGCTATAACCGACCAATGAATAGATTTTTAATCCCCACAAAATAGTATTACATCGGCTTGTTTATATAAAAATGAATACATTCCCAGAATTCAATTCGTTATGTGTAATCTGTTATTAATTATAAAAATAAAATGTATTCTATAAACCACTAATGCCAACGGTCCCCCCAAATGGTTTATTAGTATATGTGGTATTACATATACACACGAATTGCACCGGAAACACACAATTAAATTTATACCCAACAATTTAACCTGGCCTGTAATATATATTTTCTTTTGGGAACTTCGGGTTGGAGTGGGTTTGTATAACGGAGACCAGAGCAGGAAACAGGGTTGATAAAACGAATTCGAATTTCAGCTGAGGCTATTTAATTCTCGTAAATACTATTCGGGGAAAATATGAATACAAATGTTTTTATGCTCTATTGCCAAAAGAAATTAAACAAAATGTCTCGGTCATTGGCCTGTCAAGCTGGATGACTGAACGAAGGAAACAGAAGCGACTCTTTTATAACTATCTAACTTGGTCAAACAGTGACAGATAAAATCTGTTGCTTCCATAGCTATCCTTGACAGGAGATTAATCATTTTATTTATATCTAATACAAAATGATATAAAAACGTTTCTTCATTTGATCAATATGGATTTTTAATAGTTACAACGATTTGCATTTGCAGTAGACCATTCAATGTATTTGGAATATTTCCAAACCATCTTTTTGCTCTGATTGTTCTGTGTCCAGATTTCTTCATCCACATTTCTAAAAACAGGGTAGACTAGCTGCCAACCAAGGCTAGAGAGCTACAGGAAAGGATTCATGTCAGTGCCAAGGGCATTAGTTTGAAGAGGACACATATGAAATGATCTCGACCGGAATTGGAACTTAGTTTCCATTTTACATTAATAACCGTTTCTCTACTCGCACCTTCAACTAGCAATTCCAATAAGGTTTCTAACACACACACACAAACACACGCACACACACACACACAGAGTGAGTGAGTGAGTGAGAGAGAGAGAGAGAGAGAGAGAGAGAGAGAGAGAGAGAGAGAGAGAGAGAGAGAGATAAACTTTACCAAATAAGTGTTTATCTATATCCTGTTAGAAGATTCTTTTTCGACATTTTTGATTTGTCTCTTGAATTGAGCGTTTTTTTTCTTCCAGTCTCAATATTTTGGGAGTCTGATTTTTCTCGCTTCTGGTTTGTTTTGTTTTACGGCATATCAACATCAATGGGTCATTTAATACCGACAAGATTTTTACTGCTGGTAATATTTTTTCGAAAAATGTATTGCTGGTAATATTTTTTCGAAAAATATAATGCTGGTAATATTTTTCCCCAAAAGTATTGCTGGTAATAATGTATTGCTGGTAATATTTTTTCAAAAAAATGTATTGCTGGTAATTTTTTAAAATGTATTACTGGTAATATTTTTCCCCAAAAGTATTGCTGGTGATAATGTATTGCTGGTAATATTTTTTCAAAAAATGTATTGCTGGTAATTTTTTAAATGTATTACTGGTAATATTTTTCTCAAAAAGTATTGCTTGTAATAATGTATTGCTGATAATTTTTTCTTCGAAAATTCATTGATTGTAATAATTTTTTTATAAAAATGTACTGCTGGTAATAAAACCAATTTCTACACGTTTTGACCCCAATTTGGGGGTTCACTATTTAACCATAGCTTGCACCCTAACGAGAGCTACCACTCCGGGTCAGGGTGAACCTGGGAACACTAGCAATCTCAAAACGTTCTGATCAGAGGTCTTGCTGCTGGATGTAGTTTATCGTCATACCCAGGATAGTCTCGCTTCTAGTGGACAGTTCCATGGGATATAAGCAATGGAATATCCAAATTTCTTCTAGCTTTCTTCTTGTCTCTATTGAAGTGATAACCTTCATCACAGTGGGAGAATCTTTTTTCACTTGGAGGATAACAACTGCTTAATTCCGATATTTACTGGGAGATCACGTATCAGGCTGCATAGAAGCTTGAATTTTGTTTTTCACTTCTTGCTTGACGATCAAACGTCAAGTAATTTGAGGAATTTTGTTCGTAAGAATAACTATCAGGAGAAGATCTTTTAAATTCGCTACAGAATTCAACGCCATAAAGCCAAGATTCTAACACGAAAAAATAAATTGTAATAAATTTCTAAGTTAGTAAGCAAAAATTTGACATAAAAGGAAAAATTAAAACTGATGAGTCTGGATTTTTTCAAAAGAAAAGAAGCAAAATGAAGTGACAACAGAAAATAGATTTTAATAAAAAAAAATCCTGTTTGCGATAACTTTTTTGGAAGAGAGAAAAATATCAAAGATTTTGTAAGTGTTTGACTTTTTTTTTTGATCGAGGAGTGTTCATTTATATCTTAGGTGATAAAGTGATGAAGCGTTTTTAGAAACGGAATAATAATCCATTCATCTATAAGAAAACATTAAATTCATTTTGTCAAGAACATAATTATAAAAAGACAAACTGGAAAAGTAAATATATTTCATATTGAAAGAATTACAGATTTTAGTGCTAAATTAATCGGTTCTTTTCTTTTTCTTTTTCTCCTTTTCTTCTTCTTTTTTTCTCTTTCCTTTTCTTCTTCTTTTTTTCTCCTTCCTTTTCTTCTTCTTCTTCTGTAAGCTTGTTTTACTGTACTACACGATATCACAATTTCTGTAGAACAAATCAGGATATTTTACGTAAATGTTCATCTTCCCTGGTTTTTTGGCTATAAAATCTGATTTTGTTGCTTTCTTCTAATAAATAAAAAAAATTATATTCCACTAAATGTTCAACAAACGCTGATTATATTGAATTTTTCCTTTTAGTTGTTTACAAAGGATTCTCCTCTAAAATCTCGAACTTTTTCAATAAAGAATAAAAGACTTAGCTTCATTATTGTCTAAATTGATATTTAAAAAATAATCACGTATAATACTCGTTGTTTTCTATCTTTGATTGCTTCATATGCCTTCATTGTATGTTTCTACTGAATTGTAAACAGGAGACTGAAATATTTTCTCCCCTCTTTAGTGTTAGCATGCTCCCCCTGTGGAGTTCAGGGTCTTAACACGCTAGACGTTGTTTCTGATGTTCATATAACAAGTTTTATGGGGCAAAGTTCCCAGCCTCCTATGCCTAAAACGTTTTGAAGTTAGAGCGATCCTTCTTTTAATCAGTTTGCCAACCAAGGCTAGTGAGATTAGTCTGCTCTCCTATTTAAACCACAGCTAGGGCGAGTAGAAAAAATGGATTTATAGCTTCGTTAAGGGTATTTGTGTGAAAGTCAATACTAATAACTCGACGGAATTTGAACTCAGATTGCCGATTCCATTTTTAATTCTAATAACTGACAATTCACACACAAATACGTTAGCGTTGAAATATCATCAGTTGATAGTTATCAATCTTAAATTTGTACTGCTCATAACTAAAGAAGAGGAAGAGGAATGAAGCAAAGAAGATTGTACTGCGCCAGTCCAAAAATAGAAAAATCAGCACTATGTATAATTGTTTTTACTTTAAATTAAAAATAGTAATGATTTCTCGGACAAGTTTACAAACCATTGAAAGCGTGTTATTATATTCATATAATTGTAGCTATTTTTTTTAAGATTATATTTAAGAGGTTATTAAGTACAAGACAACAGTATCTGAGTTCTAAGTTCTACACGCAAATACTAGTTTCTAATTCACGTTCTACGGTAGGCGACCTTTTTAGTTTTCATTAATACAAGTAATTTTTTTACTTGATATTTTAGATAGAAATTTTACTGCTTTGTAGAAGGCAAATTCATTTTTATTAATTTGACTTCTAGGATAATATATTCACACTGAAAATTTTATGATGAAGGACTGAATAAGAATCAATTATGATTAATTTGGCAATAAATTGATCTCACACTGGCGATTAGATGGAAGCTGTTCATGTTAAAAATCCACACAGAGAATGACTAATTGAATTAATATTGGATTTTTTTTTTAAAAACTAATTCACATAGAGAAAAGTGACTGAATACGTGTCTCCATTTGCCTGATAAACCTGAAAGAGAATTCTGTTTTTTTTTTTTTTTATCTTTAAGATAAAAGTGACTCATGAAATGTCGTCAAATATGCCCGTTTCTTGAATTCGTCTTGGTTAAGCAATTCATTTGCTCAGCAGGTGTATACAGGCCACAAAAAGATTGATGTGCACGCAGACGAAAGGTGTCGGAAAATGCAACAAATTTATTTAAAAAAAAATAATAGTCGCTATTTCTAAATGTGGGGTCTGCGATCGCGCTCACAAGCCAAAAACAGATTTTTTTTCACCTCGAATGTCATCCACACTTATGAAATGTAAATAACTCCATGATTTTTGGTAATTTTTCATTCTGAGGATTGGAGTTGTTGCAAGGAAAGGTAAACAAATTTTGATTTAAAATTTATTTTTCAAAAGAGACATCAAAATTTAATACAAAAACAAACTCTTCGCGAAGAGAAAACAATATATAAAAGGAAAACCATATTTGATTGTGTATAAGATGCATATAAAAAAATGATACACACTGATTTCAACACGAAGTCCTCCCATTATTTTTCTTCAAATTCAATGTCAGGATCATGATTCCCTAAAGATTTTCCTTCAGTATCTTTCTGAGATAAGGTATTATGTACACTATTTACATTATTCGGACTATTGTCCTCATCTTTGTCGCCATATTTAATACAACGTTTTGGCCTTTCGGTATCTGTCTATATTTCTGAGTTGAGGTATTATGTAAACTATTTACATTATTCGGACTATTGTCCTCATCTTTGTTGGCATATTTATTACAACGTTTCGGCCCTTCAGTATCTGTCTATATTTCTGAGATGAGGTATTATGTACACTATTTACATTATTCGGACTATTGTCCTCATCTTTGTCGCCATATTTATTACAACGCTTTGGCCTTTCAGTATCTGTCTATATTTCTGAGATGAGGTATTATGTAAACTATTTACATTATTCGGAGTATTGTCCTCAACTTTGTCGCCATATTTAATAGAACGTTTCGGCCCTTCAGTATCTGTCTATATTTCTGAGATGAGGTATTATGTACACTATTTACATTATTCGGACTATTGACCTCATCTTTGTCGACATATTTATTACAACGCTTTGGCCTTTCAGTATCTGTCTATATTTCGCCATGTTTATTATAACGTTTCGGCCGTTGTACGCTCCGGCCTTCTTCAGGTCGTTGGAATGTTGTTATTATCGCTTTTTTTCTGGCATACCTTATTACTGGGTCCCATATTGTATTCATTTCTATGCTTGGTCGGCTCAGGAGATTTTGTGGCCTAGCATATGTGCTGATTCCTTAAGTTTACGAATTTTCCAATGGTGTTCTTTGTCTATGATCTCAACCTGATCCCACAGAGGGCGGTGATCTCCCTTTTCTCTCCATATGTGGTCAGCCATGCCTGATTTTTCCACTTCCCCTCGTGTTACAGCTTCCTGGTGTTCTTGAAGGCTTTATATTTCTTTCCGCAGCTGCACGGGATAACGTGAAGAGAAACAATATATAAAAGAAAAACCGTATTTGATTGTTTATAAGACGCATGTAAAAAATAATGATAGACACTCATTTTAACATAAGTTTCTCACCATTTTTTTCTTCAAATACAAGGTCTCTTCAGGACGTTGGCGAGGATGATTCCTTACAGATTTTCCTTTATCTGTGAATTGCTATGTAACCCTTGTGTTGATAGTGGATTGGCTAACCTGCTTCCTCTCCGCCGTTTGGAATTCAACAATGCTACCCAACGCTACCCAACGCTCGTTACTTTACTATTTAACCGATAGCGGGGGGAGAAATTGCACGTGTACAAAAATGAACGCAACTGATTAGTTTGGAATTTGAACGCGGTTGACTGAAGTCATTTTACAGGGTGATATCCGCTGAACTACCCTCACAATCGTAAAGACTAAATTCTGAGTTAAGGATCGATCCCTTCTTTGTCAACGAAATGTGTGGGTTTTGTCATTGCTATTCTAAAATTATAATATTAACAAGAAAAGAAGTAATATCGCCAAAAAAACCCACAAAATAATGGTTGGAAAAACGAGTTACTATTTCTTATTTGAAAAAGAAGGTCAGCGTTTTCCTATTGAACTATCCTGATTTTGATTTTTTTTTCGGCGACGTAAGCTAAAACAAATTCACATGTGATAAAATACCGGCTGGGCAAAGATATTACAACTGAAAGTTTACTGCTGGATCTTATTTGTAATAAATAAGTGACACCTTTCTACTGGAAAAATCATTAACGTATCCAAGGGTAATAAGGTAAGTAGAAAATAACTTTCGACATATATGTTATACAGTGTGTCCATAAAGTTTGGGTGCACTTTAAAAAATTATAACTTTATTTGTATTTGCGATAGAAATAATTTGTAAAAAGGATTAGAAAGAAGTAAAACTATATTTTTTTAAGGTTTTATTGAATTTTTATTTCAGTTTCCTCCATTATTAGCAATACAAAGGGTAATACGATTTTGCAGTTCATGGAAAATATTTGCCAACTGATTTACAGTAATGCCTGAAATCACACGAGTTGTTTTAGCAATACTTAAAACTAGGTAGATTAAACTTTATAACATTTTTTTACAGATTATTTCTACCGCAAATACAAATAAAGTTATAAATGTTTTAAAGTGCACACGAACTTTATGGACACCCTGTATTTGGTGTATTATTTGAAAATTAAAATATATCAATACTTGCAGCGAGGCAAAGAGTCTTGTGCAAATGAAAACCCAGATGAAACAGCAGCCAGGGGAGCTTCCAATGCTGAGAATATGCAA